GTATACTTGGTTTAGAGCCCAGTGAGGCATCAATATTGACACAAATAGGTTCATCGGCCATATCATAAACTTTAATAATTCATCTAGTCACCTCATCATAGGTGATGAAGCAAGGTTAGATAGGGATCCCACACCCTATGAGATTTATATTAGTTCATATTATATGATGCTAGATGGGATTAGTATTGGAGGAAAACTTGCAGTAAACAGAAAGTTATTTTCTTCTCAACCTAGGGATGGAGGCAGAATTACATTTGACAAGAGGTCGCCAACAACCTATTTGCATATTATTGAGTGCAAAAAATGAAAAGCTAAATGAAAGTTTGGAACTTGCGGCTGGTTGCAAACAGGTATATTGACGATGATTATTATTATTTTATATGAGCATGCATTAGAGGATGTAGAAGATTTTCGCGACGTGACATTTCACTTTAACGAAGATGTCACAATTATAGGTATATCAGCAATGCAAGACCGTAATTTCGAGTTTGATGTACATAGACGACGGATGTGCATTTGACAGTGTCTTGCAGTCAACATCCTCTATGTACATTTGTTTTTAATTATCATACTCGAAATTGTGGTCTTGCATTGCTGGTATACCTACAATTGTAGGATCTTCTAATTAATGTTCTACAAAAGACGAATGTGGCAATATTGACTGAATAGTCATGCAAAAATACTCAAACAGAGCATTTGTTCCCAAGGATAAATCAGCACATTCACTAAAGTTAAATGTGACACCGAGAAAATATTTTACATCCTTTCAGACATGCGCGTAAAAGCATAATTACTTACTGTCGGTATATCCTATCTGAAACCTATTGCAAGTTTCCAGCTTTCATATAGATTTTATTTTTTGCACTCAATAGCTTAAAAGTTGTTTTATGCAAATAGGTTACTTGAGTACACCCCTTGTCAAATGTAACTCCACCTCTATCCGTAAGTTGAGAAAAATACAACGTTTTATCTACTACAAGTTTTCCTCTGATGCTAATCCTATTTAGCATAATGATATGAACTATTATAAATCTTAAGGTGTGTGAGATCCCTGCTAACCTTGGTTTATCATATATGATGAGGTGACTATAGTTAATGAAGTATGAAAATCCAGACCCTGTTTGTGTCAACACTCGAACACTAATATCTTATTGGGACCTAAACTAGTTATACCACTAAACTTGTCCCCGAAGTTGCCTCCAACATTATATGTTGCGCACTGAAAAGCTATATCAGGAACACTCTCAACTTCGTTGACGGAGGTAATGAAATGAAGAGTTTCCCTGCTCAGTGGCGGATCCAGGATTTTAAGGTCGTGGGTGCTTTATTTTTTAACGTAAAGTTACTATCGATCACATAGTATAAGTGCACAACTATTTGAACACGACAATAAAAAAGTTAAACAAGAGAATTACACTTAATATTATCATTAAAAAGAGACTTCCAGTCACAAGCCACAACTGTACTGGACTTTTTATATTATGAAAAAGATAATATAATAGCATTATTGCTTACACTTGCAAATATTTTACGCTCTATATATCAAATTAAACAGTTAGATAAAATTTCAAGAAGGGCTTGGAGTTTTTTGGAAGCTAGTTTTTTCTATTATTATTATTATTATCTATAATCAACCAGATAAAGGAAAAGCAAAAAGAAGAACTAAATCAAGAAGCCAACAATGAAGTCTGTCAAGAAAAGGAAAAAAAAGGGACTAGTTTGGTGGAAAACATGTCGTATGTGCTGAAAGAAACGACAATAAGACCTAAACTATAAAGAGTAAATTGCACATAAAATTAGTGTAGAATGAAGATTCGAACCCTCGCTACCCGCGTCAACAAGCTCTCAGAACCCATCCTTTGCCAAAGCAACCATCAAAAATTTTGTTTGCTGGGTGCTTTCTTATTACATTTATTGACTTTGTCATATTTTCTATATAATTATGCATACTCCGCGTCGGGGTTAATGGGTGCTCAAGCACCCGCAAGGCTCTATGTAGATCCGCCCCTGTCCCTACTAATAGTACCTCTACACCAAGTGTAATATGAGTATCCTGATGTGTATACATGCTCAAATCTTTCACCATATTATGAGTTGAGTGCGTGACATGTCCAAGAGCGTCCAAGTACTTCAAGATATTTTGATAATTTATCAGGATGAGAAATTTCTTTTTGATCTTTAGATTTAACACATGGGTAGCACTGAATCCAAAACATATTGATATCGATGTCTATTAGTACCAGCTGGTAAACAAAAAACTCACCAATTGAAATATTAATAACGAAACCATGATTAGGTCGGTGCAAAAAGGCACTTCGTGGGTCATAAATGCCATATTGCTAGTGAAATTTTGTTTAGGTTCAGAATGCGCAAGCTTTGCTTGAATGGTTATAGCAATAGAACTGGAAAAATAATAAACAGTGTAAAAATGGAAAGGAACACAAGTACAATAATGTTTGTCATCATTTTGGATTTTTTGTGTGATTTCTTTAACAAGCGAAATTTTCTCTAGCCTTCAAGGAGACATTCCTCGTTTACAAGGAATTAAATGGTTAAAGAATTTTTCATTTGAAGTGACGGTTTTGAATAGGAATTATTTTATTTGCTTAAGAGTTGCTATTTGAAATTGGGTTTAAGTATTTCAAGTCACCTTATTTAATCCCTAATAAAAAAAATTGACTCTATTTTTATTGGTTCGTGAGAACATAAGACTAAATAAGGAATTATATTAACTGAGGGGAAAATGTGAGACACCCCTTGTCCCCTGATTTTTGCACGATAACTTTTATTGACTTAAATTAATTCTTGAATATTCTTATGCTTTATTGGTTGTGATTAGCCTATTACAACTTGATTGTTATTAAAAGTATTTTGGACAAGGCACGCGTACATGTCCTTGCCCTTTCTTTTTATTAGATGTCATGATCATACCACACAAATGTATTCATGACCACAATAAAATTATTTAGTTTGGTCAAGTCGCGTAATGGAGTGCTATTTTTACATCATGCCCCTTTACAATTTTGAATTTAAGAAAATTATCTTTTTAAATTTCTTATGTGTAAAAGACAGATCTCTTACGTGTAAAAATACATCTCACATGTGTAAAAAGGAAGTAGGATCATAAAACTAAAAATAAGTTTATAAATAGCCAAAAAATCAATTGACGCGGAATACCGGCCCATCTTTAATTAAATGTCATAATCATGCCACGAAAACCTATCCGTGATCATAATAAAAGCTAACGTTCTCGGAATTGAAATATTCATTTATTTATGGACTTTAAAAAAAAGGGGGCCAGCTTGTCGCTTTATTGAATTGGGCATGGCATATATAATTCATTAAAGAATTGACCCAAATAGCTACACACTTACTCTTTTTAACTAAAAATAGTCGGCGGATATATAATATATATATATAACTCATGTATACTATATGTTCAATTGTGTATAATCAATGTATAATCTATGTATACGGGCTATAAAAAGTAAACGTTGAATCTGGCTGGCTATTTGTGTAACAATCCTTAATTCATTTGACCCATTATTAATTACCGGAAACTAGTAGAAAGACACCAGGCAGCCGCTTTAAAGGGTTGTTATTTAAGAATTAGCAATGCATCCCGAATTTCAGTTTTTCAGTTCAAATTTTCGGATAAAAAAGTCCTTAATTGTCCTGAAATTGAGATTTTTAGATTAAGATTTTAGGACAAAATAAGCATTGTAACTTCGGGAAAAGGATTGGCTCTGAGGGCTGGGCACGGGGGTCCCAGTCCCGAACTCGTCGGCTGTCGGTGGACTGCTCGAGCTGCTCCCGCGGCGAGAGCGACTAATCTCTAATTAACATACCTAAAAATAGCTATTTGTGCACTTGCCCCTAGAAAACAAAGCACTCTAGGGCCCAACTGGCTTAACTAATGGACAATGGTCCAAAATGTATCTCTGTTTCCTATTTTCAACTTTCATTAAACAAACTAAAATAATAGTGTTAAACTTAAAACCACATGCTCATGAAACAAAATAATAGATTCAAAACAGAACACCAAATAAATGAACCAAAACATCACGCCATTTTCACAAAGGAGCACAGAAAGCACAATAGAAACAAATCTTCCAAATAACTTAAACAAAATCAAATAGTAAGAGAATAAGAATAAAGAAAGAAATGGATCTTTATTGCTTTTAACCATAGTGGTTTGATTACATGTTGCTTGACCGAAACAGGAGCTACGAACGGAGCCTCGACTTTGACCCGAAAACCTCTGACTCACTCGACTCAGAAACTTTAGCTATTTTTCTAGTAGTTAATTTGTGCTTGTGTTTGTCAATACAAAGAAGAGAGGAAGAGTGTAGGTAATAAATGTAACGCGCACATTTGTTATAGCCAAGAAGTAGGTCGAAAGGTTTTTTTTGCATGTCAAGCATAATTTAATTAAAATCATAATTCAATTATGCAATTCTAAATTACAGTTGGTTATTGTCTAGCCACTTTACTATGGATTACAATTATATAAAAAGATGATTAAATTACTGAATATCATGATCATCATGTGCAACTTTATTAGGGTTATGTATTTTTTGTAGTTTGGCTTCGTATTTGAAGAGTAACATAATTCTAGATCCTCACAATGTGATTGGTTGCTGTTTTTGTTTTCTTATCTTTTTCTTTTTAAAGGTAAGTAAAAACAATTGCAAGATACCAAATAATCTTCGTCGTTTTATAATCCTCCTGACTACGTGTACGACCAATCTATTCTAGACAATATTGAAATTTATAGAAAAAAGATAAAAAAGTACATACTCCTTATAAAAGTAAAAAGAAAAATTATCTATTTTTTAACAATAGAAATATTTTAAAACTTTGAATTAAGCTACTCAAATCTTCACTTGGTAAATAATATTTTTTATAATAAGATCCAAGGTAATGCATTATATATAGGTGGTTAAAATCTTATTAACTTGAAATCTTCTTATTAATGTAATATTAATACTCTGTATTGATTCCCAAATTTTTATTGCTTTAACTATGATTGCTTCATTCCACGGCTCATCGATTCTTTTCTTACAAGTGGTGGATACTGGAATGGTATTATCCAAGTTTCTAGATTTTGAGATTCATCTTATACTATATTGGTTTATTAAATCTTCCACTGCAAAACGTATTTTAAAGTAAATGTTATCTTACTAATTATGATGGCTTGAAATTCTTACGAGTTTGGCCTTGCCCATATGACTGAATTGTATGTTTATTGATTCGGAAAACTCTAGAAAGTTTTTGTTGACTCCTTTGAACTATAGTTCCTTGTCGTTTACCTTAATTTGAATTATCTGTGTTCAATTTTCAAATTTTGTTTCTGTGTATACAGATTGTTATGATGGACACGACTCCAATGGAAATATTACCATCAAGTGGGATATCAAGACTTGGACTCCAGATGGATACATTGTGAGCTTTTTCCGCGTTTACCAACATGTATTATTGCCTGACATCATTCAAGGATTTAAATTTGACCCCTCACTCCTCAAAGATAAATCATATGGATATCTTTTCCTTTTTAACTTTTACTGAAATAGAACATGACACTTTTTTCTCAAAAGTCATGACCTCCCCATCAATTTGCATTTGTGCAAACATAGAAACTCGGGTTTCTTTTTTCTGATGATAACAACTTCATTATTAGCTTAAGTTATCATCCAGAGTTTATTGGAGTTTTGTTTGACACAAAGAGTGTTTTTTTATAGGTTGTTGTTTCCATCTACAATTTCCAGAAGTATCCTATTCAAGCACTAGGATGGCAACTGGGTTGGACATAGACCAAACACGAAATAATTTGAAGTGTGCTTGGAGGTCTAGCTAGTGAGAAAGGTGATTGTTCATGGTTCAAAGGGAAAAACCCATATTGCTGCAAGAAGAACCCAACGTTTGTGGACATGACTCCACAAACACCTCCCGAGCAACAAATTGAAAATTGTTGCAAAGGTGGCGTAATTAAATCATGGCTTCAAGATCCAAGGAACGCTTTGAGCGCCTTCTAGCTGAAAGTTGGTCATGCTGGACCAGCAAACGGAGAGTGAGTAAGCCAAAGAGTTTTAGTCTCAAGGCACTGCAACTTGCATATATGTGTAGAGATGCAAACAAAGGTGGAACCGATCAAGAAAACATTGAGTAAATTACAAACCGTAATTAAGCTAATTGGTTGCATTCTTTTTTTCCCTATTAATCTTATTATTATTATTTCGTCTTTGTTCCTTTATGTATCTCAAGACACTAATGGTATAATTATGTTATATTTTTGTTTCCTCAGTGACATGGAGAGTCACTTGTATCTACTTCCCTTTTCTTTACGCCACATCCGGAGGCAAGTTCACATGTGCCAAATCCAGAAGCAAGTCCACATGTTACTACCCTCAGTGACGTTGAGCTCACACTGGTTCACACTCTGATAGGTGTTTTGGTGGCTGTTATAGTGTGACTTTTCATTCTTTTAGTGCACATGATATTTTATATCTAGTTCAGTTGTATTTTGATATTGTATCATTATTCTGCGTATTGTTTCTATAGGTTATGGGCAAATTTTTATTTCTCCATCGAAGTTTTAAATTGACTTGGTTTATCAAATTAGGAAAATTGTGGTGTAGATAACCTGGATATATATTGTCTACCAAACTGCGAAATATATTTGATTTTGGCATATGACTAGTTTTCTGAAATTGCATCATCTCAATGGAATAGAAAAATGGATCACCACATGGTTCTTTAACTTGCTAATCTTACTGATTATCGGTTAAAAAATAGAATGAAGAGAGATATATATTAATGGGAAGAGGAAATCGAGAAAAATTAGGTTTAGAGTTGTTTCGATTAATTCCTAAACTGCTATGGATTGCACGTGTTTATGGATTGAACAAGATTCAAGCCAAGAAATTGTTGGATTTGCCAGCGGATGGTCTTAAATTTGAGAATGAGAATATAGAGATTGTTGTCTTTGATAGTAATACATACTCCTATTAAAGAAGGAAATTTATCACTTAAGAGTCATGTGAGATGAAAGTCTCATGCAGGTAAATGAGGAAATTTATAACTTAGGAGTCGTGTGAGATGAAAGTCTCATGCAATTCATGAGGAAATCCTCCTTTTGACTCGAACCCCCCCCCCT